CAAGGGAACAAGAAACCTCACTTTTAGTGACAAAGGGGGGAAAAAACGACAAGAGACAGAGAAAATAGACTGATAGGAATGGGAACAAAAATGACAGAGTGGGAAGATATTGCCAAAGGGTTGGATGCTGGAAACACAGACACTAGTGGACAAGAAGGGCAAAGGAGTTAATTACTGGGCTGAAAGAGGAAAGAGATGGAAAATCCTGACTGTCGATGGACTGTAAAGAGCAGTAGGAACAGGTGACAGTACAGAGAAAAGGGGGTCATTAGGCAATACATAATGCGATGATGAGGTAGCGATTGAAAAAAAGCTACGTTTGGTAATGATATCGAATGAGTAGCTGTTAAGACAGGACAAAAAGGCAAATGAGATAAGGAGGCAAAATGGTCAGAAGGGATACCATGAAGGCTAAGGGGATGGAGCATGACTGATGATAGATTACTACAACATCAAGAGCATATGGAGTCCTACTGAGTTCAGTGGGCCTAACAGTGATATGTGGATTAAACTACATAGGACTGTCAGCACAGATGTAACAATATTCACTCTAAAGTTGGATTTCAACTTCCATTCTAGATAAATCTCTCACAGATATAGACACCCTTTTTGGCTGAAGCTTTTTTACAACTGGTCTAACAAAGAGATACACGATTCTGTGCCCTAGGAAGGACTCTGAAAACAAACACGGTTTGGTATTTTGGCCTTTTTTGACTTAAAAAGTTTGCACTAATTTAGTTAATTAGAACATGAAGGAAAATTATTTTTGGCTACTCCAAAAAACATTGTGACAGTCTTACAGTAAAAAAAAAAAAAGCTGAAGTTGGAAATTTGATGAGTGAATTAGTCTATGTGGGCCAAAGAGACAGGGCATATGCCACTGTTAAAAATATGCTGCTCAAGTGATTCACTTGAGCAGCCTATGTGGGACGAAATTTTTAATCCCACATCTCTATCTTGGATGTTACACTATCCCCACCCACAACTTAATCCTGCCCAGGGGACAGATTTTTTTAAATAAACCAAGCCTGTTTCCACCATTTCCCACAAATACATATTTCCTACTAAGTTCCACCTGCAACAACATGCTTTTTTTTTTTTTTGGCTCCTACTAGAAAGTCAGTGGGTCCAAGTAAAATCATATCCCTGAAGCAGAGGGGCACATGGGGCTGCATCTATCTCCTATGCAGCCACCTGAGGGGGGGGGGGAATCTTCCCAAAGCTCTGGGCCTGATCAAAGGAACACAGTGTTTAACAAGCTCTTTCACAGCTACATGACTCCCTTCATAGAATCACAGAAGAGGGAAGGGGACCTCACAAGGTCTGGTCCAGTCTTGGTTAAACTCATCCTGATAGCTTGCTCTCCCTTCTTCTTACAGAGTACACAGATTAAGTGCCAGAACCAGCACTACACCACCATGACAGCTGAGAAACTGAGGACTTCAGCCAGTGGTGCTCAACCTCTTTAGACTCAAGACACCCGTTCGTTGGATTCAAGGTGCCCCTGGTTAGACTTAAGGCCCTTGGAAAACACAAACTGTTAGCTTTCACTTATTTTTCGAGTGCAAAACAAATAAAATAAATAAATACCAGAGCAAACTCTTCCGCAGCAAAGCCCTCCAAAAGGCTGCAGCAGCTCAGAACAGTTCAACTCACCGGTGCTCAACCTCTACCCATGGGCCAGATGCGGGCCGTGGCGCCTCATCACCTGGCCCCCGGGGCTCCCCACGATGCAGAAATGTGGTGGTGGGACAGCGGTGGCACACCCCCACCGCCAAACCCCTGGGCTTATGGGGAACCCCAGGCTATGCACGCTAGATCTGGTGCCGAATCCCACCATACAGTAAAATGTAGAATCCACCATGAAATATATTAAATGAATGGTGGTTCGTGGCTTCAACCACCTGTAAAGTCCCAATCATGCCATGGCCTCCGGGTGGCCAGACCCCTGCACCGTACAATATCCCACTGACGACAGTAGGGACCAGGGCAAAGCTCCTACTAGGCAAGGCTTAGAGTTAGAATCCATTTTTAAAGTTTGTTCATGGCCCTTTCATAATCTAAACCTAGTGTAGCTAGTCTATCTTAGATTTAGGACTAGCTACCAGGCTTAGACTTCAGATACAATGGCAACATACACTACAGGCAACCCCCGCTTAACACCATTTCGCTTAGTGTTATTGTGAGATGCTGTATTTGATCTCTAAACCCTGGCAACTCATGCAGCAAAAACACTCACAGGCATCGTACAGGTGGCAGCAGGTTTTGCCTAGCACTCACTTTCCTGGGAACCAATTAACAGTGCCCAAGGGGGGTTGCCTGGATTTTAAAACGGCACTGAGCTCATCCCATTTTCAGAGCCCTTAAGAGGACTTTTCCTGGACTTTTCCCTCATTAGGTTCATTCATGCTACCGCTCTGCTGACTTATGCTAACAGGCAGGTCAGTTAAAGCTTGATGTTGGGGGAGGGGAGCCAGGAGGGGCCTGATTTTGATCCGGATCCTGCCCCCCACCCCGTCCCGCCCCAGAGTGAACAGCGCCAACGAGGGGGACTACTTTCGGGCTGCCACTGCGCATGCGCACGAGACATGGGGGGGCGACACCCCCAACAGCTGCACGCCCCCGGGGGGCGCGTCGTACCCCCACACCTACCGCGTACAAGGGGGAACCGAGCGCCGGGGGGGGGAGGGGGGGCTGCTGCCATCTTGGAGGCGACGGCGGCCGCCCGGGCTCAAGCGCCGTCCGAAGGCGTTCTCTGGGGCGCTGCGCCGGGCAGGGCGGGGAATAGAACGCGGGCCGGGCCGGGCCATGGAGCGGAGCGCGCGCTGCGCCCGGCTGCACGCGGTGCTCGGCGCCCTCTACGACCTCGGTGCGTGAGCGAGCGGGACCCCGGCGCGTGCCCCCGGCAGTAGGGAGCGCCCTCCCAGCCCCTCTTTGGCTGCCGGCTTTGCATCCTCTCCTGGGTGGTGGGGGGGGCTCTGATCCATCCCTCCCGCTTGTGCGTGACCCTTCTTAGCTCCTGCCCAGCAGTGCTCTGCTGCCTCTTACTGTGCCGGGGCCTGTGTGGCCCTCATCACACCTGACATGTACTGCGCAGTTGGCGTGTGACTCGCGCAATAGACTGGTCGCATGGGCAGAGTCATTATGGCAAATGCATGGCAGAGTCGCACAATAAATGTAGACGGCCCATGCGGGCACGGTAACGATCATGCAATGAATGGGTGAGTTGTGCAATAAACATAGACAGGCCACATAGGCACGATAACGATCACACAGTGAACGGGTGAGTTGTGCAGTAAATATAGACCGGCTGCAGGGGCAAAGTATTTATCTCAAATGGATGGCGGAGTCACGCAATAAATGCAGACGGGCCCTATGGGCACAGTAACAATCACGTAGTGAAGGCAGAATCCTGCAATAAATGTAGGTGGTCCACACAGGCACGGTAATGATCACACAGTGACCGGGTGAGTCGCGCAATAAACGCAGACTGGCTGCATGGGCAGAATAAAATATAGCAAATGGGTGGCAGAGTCACGCAGCAAATGTAGACGGGCTGTGTGGGCACGGTAACGGTCACACAACGAATGGGTGAATCGTGCAATAAATGTAGACGGGCCATACAGGCGCAGGAATGATTGCACAGTGAACAGGTGAATCGTGCAATAAATGTAGTTTGGCCAAATGGGCACAGTAGTTATTATCACATCATTGACAACGGAATTGCACAACAAATAGGACGGGCCACACGTGCACAGTAATGATCACGCCATAAGAATGACTCACCAGCTCAGAAAAAAAGCCAACCAGCCAGAAAGTTAGTGCTTGGATACGCGTAAGAAATCAGTTGCTGGTTTCTATCCAACTTTCATTTCTATCTAGCGTAGCAAGGCCCTAGATAGACACTTCAGTCCCTCATTATTGTGCCATATCTGTTATAGCCCGTGTCAGTTGGCTACAAAAAACAAGGGTGGAAGGTAAAACAGCTGGAAGTAATTAGGCTGCTTATTAGGTAATTTAATGAGAAAACATTGAAAAATGGTTGGGTTTTGAAATACAGGGGAAGAGCCTGCAAAGAAAACCGAGAAGGAAGGGAGAAAGAAGAAAAAGACAAAGGATGAGGTTGGATTGGAGCTGGCCAGACCTGTCGAAGAAGACAGCGTTTTACCTCCCACCTTGGTGACCTCTGGCAAGAGGAAAAGTGCTTCCCGTTTTTTCAAAGGCTTAAAAGATGAAATAGAGAATGAGGCTGTTTGTTCCAGTGGGGCCACCCCAGCATCCAGTAGCCCTCATGCTGTGCCACCCACATCGACCCAACTGGGAAAGGTGGCAGATGTAGAAGTTGTGACGTTTTGTAGCTGGCATAAGAAGAAGAAACCTAAGCTGGAAATGGCTGAAGATCATGGCTCAAAGGTAATGAGTCAGTCAGCTGATCTGAAACATAAAATCATAAGAACTGCCGTTTACTGCGTCAGGCTGTAGATCTGTCTTAGCCAGTGATCTGTGTTACACAGTCCTGGTGCATGCCTATCTTGAGCCTTCCAGGCTGCAGACCCTTCACATCCTCCATAACAACCTCTTATTGAGGTTCTGGCTGTGCTATTCCTCGCACCTTTTTATTTACCCGCTCCCCATCCATAACCCCACCAAATCCAGGGACCTCCTGGTCAACCTCTTCAAGGCCCTAGCTAAACTAACCATCTATCTGGCCAGGAAGGAGGATCCAGCTGGGAGTGCCCATCCACCCATGTCTGAGGCCATCTTCCTGTCCCTCATTTGGTCCCATCTCTGGGCAGTTTCACTGGGCAGTGTCCACTGACTCCTGAGACTTGTTTGAGGGCCAGTAGGTGCTGGCTGGTGTGCTCTGCTCAGTGTCCCACCCCTTGGCGCACTTGTTTTAAATCTGACACCCCCGCTCCCATCCCTGTTTTAGCGTTTGTTGTCTCCCGGCTTCCTTTGATGTAAAATTAGTAACCCCTCTAATAATAGTGGGGGCAAACAGTTTCTCTGTGAGCTCATGCCTACAGCTCTGCATCCAACAGGCCTGTGTCACACAGTGGCAGGCAGTCAATGCTGAAAGGGAAAGTGAACAAGGTATGGCCAGGGGTTAAAGGATAACTTGAAATAGTAGGGCAGTGGTTCTCAACTTTTTCAGGCTCAAGGCAACCTTTGTTTGATTTTAAGGCCCCCCTGAGAAAATGCAGCCTCTTAGCTTTCCTTCATTTTTTGACTTTGGAACATAATATAGCTATTCTTGTTTAGGAAAGACTTCAGAAAACCCGCAACAGGACAGAATGTTTTTGACACTATAGATTTCTATTAAAAATCTCTGGGTTTCTGTTGTGAATCCTGTGTAGATATTGGCACACATAACAATGCTAATATTGCACACCACCCCATATTGCTCTTAAAAGGACCTCACGGCACCCCAGGATGCTGTGTAACCCTGGTTAGTAAGGAATAGACCAAGTTAAATCTATCCCCAGTAAGTTCCAGTGTCTTCTGTAAGCTTGATCCATTTTGCCATAACATTTACCAAGATCATACAAGTGTCTACATTTGTTAGTCCTATTATGATCACACAACAAGCTAGCCTTTTCCTTGCACATTGCAAATAAGATTATATATTTGCTACTTGTAATAGTTTATATTCATGTTTCATGTGGGAATTTGTCCATTTTTTTTCATTTTACATCCTTGTCTTATATATGTAGGAGATAATTCAATTGCGTGCGCATTCTATCTCCATTGAATCTTATTAAGGTTTATTAAATGGAATGCACATAATAGCAGAGATTTATAAAGCCACCTAGGAGATCTGGGCATTCAGTGCCTATTGCAATTAATCAGAATTGAATTCTAAAAACATACCCTGGTTGGTTTGCCACTGTGAATTACAAGACATCTCCTTCAATATGATAGTAAAGTTAAGCAAGTGTAGGTCCCAGTTTAAGGAACTTGCTTAAACAAATTTATAAGACTTAGAACAAAAAATAACCTGCATATAGGATTTTTATATATATATATATATAGGGAAGGTGAACTTGCCAAATGACAAAAGTATGAACAAAGCCCAACCCATCTGATAGAAAGTTGCTGATGGCATAAACTTTAATAAGTGATTTGTTCAGTAGATAGATGCTTGTTACTTCCAGTCAAAAGTAAAGCTTTGCATAGATCTTAACACAAAACAGCAAAGATGGATCTAATGTACCACAGCTGAAAGAAGGAGGGAAATCTGTGTTGGCTACCTCTTATTCTGAATGTACACATACAGTGGCATGTTCTGTGTGTTACCAATCAGCTCTGCCCTGATCAGGCGAGCAGATATGAGACTGCGTAAGAATCTTGCTCTCTGAAACTACAACCTTTTAAAGTCAATAATACATGGTTTGCTCACTCTGGAGTGTCAGACAGCTCAAGAGGTTGATATTGTAAAACAGTGTTTCTCAACTTGTGGGTCATGACCAAAAAGTAGGTCGCAAGAATATATGAAAGGGCCTTGAACAAACTTTAAAAATGGATTCTCCATTAAAGGAGAAAAATGTGGGAAGCCACAAGTTTCCCCTTGCAGGCTGGCAGAGTTCCAGTCTGCAAGGAGCTCGTTGGGGCTCGGAGGATCAGGAGGAGGGGAATCAGGCTGGGATGCAACGTGCACGTGCGTGCGCGCACATGCACATGGCAGCCAGGCAGCATGGAGAGCATCCCCTCACAAGTAAGCCTACGGGTTGGGGGAGGCTTCAGGCAACATGTTGGGGGAACATGGGGGGTCACGTGCCCCTCCCCAGATTTGTACATCCACAACGGGCATGGGGCTACAACCTGTCCAGACCAGCATGGGCAGGAGCCACCAATGCTGGCAGCTGGGCCATGGCAGCAGGGTAGAGCCACAGGTCCGTGGTTGAATGGCAAGTGGCAGGAGGAGGTGAGGGCAACATGGAACCCCACTCCTGTTACTCCTTGCGCTGCCAGTGGCACAGCTGGCACAGAGGTCCCAGCAGTGGCAACAACGAGTCTCACTGTCTTGCTCTGCCCTCCCATGCTGGGTCCTGCCTGCTGGACTGTAGAAGTGGCTTCTGCCTGTGCTGGTCCAGCCAGGCTGCAGCCCCATGTCTACTGTGGGTGCACAAATATGGGGGACACATGGCCCCTTATGCCCCTCCCCCACACACCACCCTAAACACCCGCCCTGTGCCCCCCACACTGGGGGCATTGGGTTAGAAGTGAGGGGCACCAGCAGGGTTGGGGGAGGTGGGGAGCTGAAGGGTACTGGCCAGGCCAGGGGGCTGTTTTCTATGTAAGCTATTTACTGGGTTGGGACTGGCCATTGATGTTTACAAATAAGTCCTGTTACAGAAAAGGTTGTAAAACACAAAGTCTTTCAAACCACTGGCTCAACTCCAGACTACGTTTGCAGTTGTCTGGCCATGTCAGTCTGATTTCTAATAAGCATTAAAATCCTTCAGACTGCCATCACATAAAGCTTTAACTGGCTTGCTTGTTGGCCTAAGTCAGGTGAGAGGCAGCAATTGATTGAACCTAATGACTGAAAAGTCCCAGAAAAGTCCCCTTTTGTTAATTAGAGTTTCAAATCTGGGATAATTCTCTGTGCCTTTTTTAAACAGTGTATGTTGCCATTGTATCTGAGGTCTACACCTACTATCAGCT